CAATACTGATCAATCTAATAAACTTAACCTACTCCATCCTCCCTATTCTGGTATTTTAAAGAGTAAGCAACCTAACTAATAGGGTTGCAAACTCCCAGCAAAATAAAAAAAATAGGGAACCAACCACCCTCCACCTCATGATGCTTAATCGACGTAATCAACTTTAATTTGATGCAGTGTGAAAAAAAATGCACAGAAATCAATTAATTTTGAAGAATAATTAAATAGATTCAACATCTTTCTTCAACAGAATTGCAGACTGCACAGATCGTACCTTCCCAAAGGAAAAAGTACAATAGCTTACTAGGGTATAGTAGACTTAATAGTCACTAATGGACTTCTATACATTTTACATCAGATTAAAACTTTGGGTGTACGATTCGGATAATTATTTATTAAAAGCTAGACATTTTAAATGATAATAAGAAAGAAAAGTATGTCTTTGTGCCCTCTTTTCCCTGTTCATACCCTATCGGCCCCCCTGGCTAAACTTTGCTATATCCGCCCCTGCACAGTTACCAGCCGTCAGCTACGTAGAAAAGGATCCTGGTGTAGAAAGTAATATTAAATAAATTCTAACAACAGCTTATCAAGGTTAAAACTGGTTTCCTCTTTCTGGCGCGAAGTGGGCGATAAACAAGAGAGACGGACTCGCGACAGAAAAGCCGATCAGCTGATCATTGATCAGTTTCACGATTGAAGTAGCAGCAAGAAGAGGCAGTCGCTCCATATATCGGTTGTTGTTATCAGTTGATGAACTTACACACTTGCTTTACTTCTCTCTGGGATAACTTTCTCGGAGATAAAATGCTGGATTGGTAGGAAGCTACAAATACGCACAGCCGCTCTATCACGTGATGCATATTGCTCCGACGTGCTACGGTTATGAGCCGAGTTACGCCATGTCAAGTTTTGTGAGGTGCTTTTTTGATATTTAATGGATCGATTACATTTTTTATTTCCCTCCGATATCCATAATAATAATAATAATTATAATTATGGAGGGAGGAATTACTCTTTCATTCCTCCATTGTGGATCACAGACAGTTTCGTATTGGACATATTGTACAATCACTCACTTTATTACAGTGTTTCATTAGAAGTATTTAATTGTGTGGATGTTATAAGGAGAGTGTGGACAATAAATAGCATACTAGGCAATGGTACTGAATGGTAGTCGTACAAACACTTACGACTTTGTGTCGATTGTAATTTACAGTGCTGATAACATTATATAACTCCTGTTGCATTCTTTCATATTATATTCTGCTCCTCACTGAACAAGTGAGTTCAAACAGATAAAAACCAAAGTCAACATGAGTACATTCAACTGAGAAACCAGGACATTTGGAGAAATCAGGTCACGCTGGTAATATAACCTGGATACTGCACGTGCAGCTGATCAGTAAGCAGTTAAAATACTGCTACCACTATCAGAAAATAGTGGTGAAATCTTCCTGCATGCTGCACAAAAATAAGCGAGCACATAGAATTACTATTGGATTCATCAACTGCGCATGTGTCTCATGCAAAAGAAAATGTAATGTTCAAGGTCAAAACCATACAAGGTCCATTTTAGTTAAGTATTGACTTGAAAATTACATTTTTTTTTGAAGGGGGGGGGGGTTTGCTTAAAAAAATAAGTCGGGCTTGGGCTGTGTTAACAGATGGCAAATATTATGTTTCCCCAAGACACAAACTGGGGCTCGAGTGATAAAAGAAAAGGTTTCACATGAGAGTGGACTTATTAAGCTTATTTCCAGCTCCATATTACTATTCTTGGATTCTGCTAGAGTGGCTTTGCACGCTACAGTCAAAAGAGATCATTCTTTATCTCATATTGAGCCTTGGTGCGGCACCTCAGTTCAACCATGAGACATTTTAGTTATTCACCCTTTAAAGCCCTTTAAGCCAGCTGTCTCCTGATTGGCTGCTGAGATTACAACGTTAAGGAAGATCTACTTCACAGCATACAGATCTAAGAGTACAAAAAACAGTGTTCACGACAGCATGTAGGCTGAACTCTCAAGTCAGAGAAATTAATTGTACATACACTGACCTCACTACCATATCAGTATGGTGACAGTATGCTAGCAGTGAATTGGGGAAGTGTTTCCCATTAAAATAAATGTCATGTTCGAGAGGATAAAGTGTGCACATTAAGATAAAACTGCAGCTTTTTAACCAACTCGCCATTCTGAACAGTTATTTCATTGCTAACTCTTCTAAAGCTACTTTTTGATTATTTTGAAATGTTCTTTTGGAAAATGACAAATGTGCATAAATAGTGAATGAATTTGTTACAAAGCTTAAAAGGTCCATTTAGTCTTCTGATGATTTCTACACCCTGTATTTTTCAGTCCTGCATAATGAACAGTTATTTGGAATATCTCCTACGCACTGGGCGTTTCAGTCTATGCTGAAGTGAGCACTTGGATGGATGGGGCAAAGGCTATGGCATTAGCAGACGGAGTTCTCACACCCCACATGCTGGCCATATGTCATGCCAAATCGCATCTCATCTCTCGCTAAGAAAAGGTGCTGCTGGAGGCTGAAAGGCCACCCTCCAAACAGATATCATCAGCCTGACACCCTGACCTGGACAGAGCTGAGGGCTACAGCTATGCTATGTATCATATCTAGACACATTAAGTCAACTGAGCTAATAAAACACAAAGCCGATCTTTCAAAACTAGGCAGTCCAAAGTCCAGACATAAAAGCGGGTCAATAACAGTGCAGTCCATTAAATGCATTATTTGTGGGTACTACCAAATATTTGTGAATATATATCTTAATGTCATACTTAACTGCATGGTGGTGTGATGGTTAGCACTGTTTCAGTGTCACAGTAAGAAGGTCCTGAGAGGGAATCAAGGCTGGAGCCTTTCTGTGTAGATTTTACATGTTTTCTCTGTGTCTGTGCAGATTCTCCCCAGATACTCTTCATCCCACAGTCCAAAGACACAGACAGGGATAGGATAATTAGCGACTATAGTATGGCTGTGAATGGTTGTCTGTCTCTACTGTATGTGTTAGTCCCATGACGGATGGCCTGTCCAGAGTGTCCAGGAGAGGATACGTGAATCTTTGTTATGGTTACAATTTAAAACGAATGCTCAGCCTGCAAAATCTTTGTTCTGCTGGCTACTTTCTTTGTGGACCAACCAGCAGACACTTCGGTAATCCTGATTTTCTTACTAAGATTCAAGGCTTAAGCTTTTGTAGGACTCGGGAGGCGATATCGACCAGGAGATGTCATGGTACTGAATAAATTGTTGTCTGTAGTTCTGCTTGATTTGTTCCCTCACTGCTTTTTCTCTTGCTCTCTCTCTCTCTCTCACACAGATACAAACACAGTCCCTCACTCTCATCCAGTTACACTTACTGTATATACTGGAAACTCTCACACACTGTTGTGTGACCGAAAGAAGTCCTACCCATAAAAAAGGAAATTACCGCACAAGATCAGTCATGCAAAGAAACAAAGAAAGGTTAAATCAAATATTCCCTGCAAAACCACTGAATTCCAAGTCTGCAACAAATTACTGCTTAAGTAGAAAGAACTGCGTAAGAAAATCAATATTTAAACTCAACAGCTTCTTTTGAGCTTTAACAATAAAGCATACAGAACCTCCTGAACACCGAACCTCTGATGCCACAGCTTTCAGTTTTAAACAGGTTCACAGTAAAATGTTTGAACGCTATGTTGGAACAAAGCGGATGGTTAAAAACGTATGTCAGTCTTTAATCGAGCTAAACCCTTGTGTTAGGCTGACATCTAGTGGTTAATCCAGGGTATTGTGCTCTTTTAAGCATAATTGAAATGTTTCCTCTTCTGGTGTCTCTTCCACATATTTAGGGACATAATTCGACATACACTAAGGCCACTTTGAAGCCCGATGGAAGCTTATGAGGTTTTTGCATTGTAGTTTTATATGAATAGCTTTTAAGTGCAGTGATGCGAATAATATACTGTAACGACAAATGTGATTAATCTGGCTGCAATAACGAAGTAGAAAATTAATTAATGCCTAATTCTCTAAAAATACATGAGGCAGGAAAGAAAACAGAAGTGATTTATTAATTGGTACCTTCTCAGCTGTTGTTGTTAGACACAGATCAAAGTCATGCCCCAACCTTTCCCCCTTCACGAATACTTCATCGAAACAGAGAAACACACCCACAGACATGCAATCATTGTGGCAAACAAGAGGTTTTCTCTACTTTGTCACCACTGCTGGCAGCACTTACCTGTGGGCTAGTTGTTCAATTGTCAGTGACCGTGATAGAAATAACAGTTTGCTATCATTTTGTCAGCATGAGGCAGAAAAACATTAGCTTGCTCGGAAAACAAGCACACACCAGGTGGTGCCATCTCTCAGTGGATAAGCAATTAGCTTTGAAGGGGGGGACAAAACTACCGTTTTTTCCCCCCCACAAACAAAACAAGCAACACCTGTGTGTGCAGCCATGTGGAGCCGAAACTCAGCGTCGCATAATAGAAAATAGGGACATCCAACAGGGGAGTGTCAAGTTGCCCTTTTCTGAATGTGTTTGTGGAAAAGGTTGACAGGAAAATGACTAGAATGGGGAATAAGCGGGGGGAAGGCAATGAAATAATTTCATAGCGGAGAGTGGTAGACAAATGAGAAAGGTTGTGGGATGGAAAATTCTAATAATTACGCAAGTGAAACATTAATTAAATCTATGTCAGAAAAGGGGAAATTAAAGTGACAAAAGCAAATAAGAAAAACACCGATCAGGTAATTAAAAAAAAAAGGGACAGACATACAATAGAGGCGGGAGAAAAAAGCTGAATGATGGGAAAAAAATTAACAGCTGTGTTTTCAAAACTAAGAAAATATGGGAGCAGAGACACGGGTAATGAGTGGAGGGAAACAAATCATGTGGACAGAAGAGAGCAGAAAGCGCCACGGCACAGAGTCAGGATGATAAAGACAGATACATTTTAGTCAGAAAAATGGATAGAACCACTTACTGAGGCTACAGTCTATCCTGATACAATCTGGCGGGAGAGAGAGCGAAATGGTGAGATCAAATAAAAAGAAAAGGAGGAAAAAGGATAGAAAGAAGAGATTGGATAAAAGAGAAAAAAAGACATTTTTACATCCTTCAAGGTACATTCTGCAGACAACCAAACTTTGCTCTGGGGCCACCATCCGGGGACAGGCTCTGAGTCAGGATCACCCTTTCCCTTCATCAATCCCATCAACCTTCCTTCACCTTGCTCCATCCAATCCTCCCAAAGCACAGTAGAAGGCAGACTTGCAAAATAAGATCTATGTATTACAAATATGAAAATAAACTATACAAAGTGGTCTACTGCTGACACTGAATACCTAATAAGACTACTTTGTGATTATAAGGAAAACTAAAGTAAATTCTGTGCTTGGAGTCACTTGGTTCCTATTAAGCACAATCTCTTAATGGCCTTTTTATCTCTTCCACTGCTTATTGTGATTTTTTTTCCTCATAATCATAATAATAAAAAAACATCCTGTAGAAAACTAGTTAGAAATGGTCTAAATGTGCTGGTTATAATCATGCGGTTTGAAAAAAATGGTTTCAGTACTATCTAACTGATCCATTCTCCTCACACTGTGGACATAAACGCTGCAATATCGTCATTACAGCAGACGTCGCACCATGCAACTGTAACGTCAGCTGCCTTTCCTGGCAATTTGAGATTCACTTGCCTTCTACAGCACTTTGGGTTCGACAAACCTGACAGTAACTGACACGAAAAAGGTGATCTGCACATCCCAGCCACCTCATGCCTTGTGCACAGAAACTGAAATAGGCTTGTATATATTTTGTGCTACTTGCTACAAGTGGTGTGAGGAAAATGCCGTAAAAAGTGTTTCATCGTTTTAAAAGCTGGGTTTAAAAATATGATCTTGTGGCTTAAAGCACAGAAAAGCTCAGTTAAAATCATGCAAAGTGTCCGTAAATGCCCAAGAAACTTAATGTGACTCTTCGGCGTAAACGGACCTTTGACTCGACTCTAAATGCAGCTGGGAATTTCTTTGACAGGAACTGGTACACTCTACCTGTCACACACTGATATGTTATGATCTACGTGTGCATGTGGCAGAGTGGCTGGGTTGTGGTCTCGAGCTGTCAACCGCTACAGAATAGTGGACACAAACAGCCAGGAACCAGTATCACTCTGTAGAGATTTGGAGGTCACACAAACACAATGATATTAAAATGCTTTTATGGGCCACGAGCATCAACTGATGTTTTCCGAATACATTTAATTTAGGACAAAAGCAACATTCGTGATTGTAAACACTGTAAAGCATTTTGTAGAGGAGGTCTAATCATGAATTACTCCCTCGATAATCAATAAATACAATATTTATGGCATTAGGTAAAACATGCCAGCCGTCATCTGGCCTACGCGTTGCAGGCTGAACATGCTACCGTCACTCTCTATCATTAAAGATATCATTAGGACTACATCTGCCCAATTATAGCAGTTCCTAGTGATTAATTACCAGGATTTTAATTATCTTAACAAGGATTAAGGCCTTAACAGATCAGAAGGATTCCCTTCTGAGTTTCAGACTTGTTTCACTTTAGTTGTTAATTAATTTTCTTGCAAAAGAGCTGTGGAAATCATTAGCATAGCTAAGCTGAGTTTCATTTAAAAGCCGGTAAGAAAGGAAGGAAAAGGGGCTGGTATAGAAAGTCTCTTGAGGATTAGCTTTAAGTGTAGGGGACATAGCTGAGAGGTTAAGATGTGGCCCCAGGTACATTAAGTTCAGCTGTGTATGCCCCGACAGCTACAGCTGTGAGCTGGTCTCTGACTGTTTGATCCGAGGGCCGCAGACATACAGGCCATTGAAGGGATGAAAAGTTCCATCTTTTGTGTCCTGGCCAGGAGGGGTTTTTATGACTGATGGAAAAAAGTGAGAGTGTGAAGGAGAAAGAAGATAGAAAGAGGAAAGAGAGGGGGAATGGCCTCCTTCATTTATCCCACTGCCCCCATTCATGTCTCTAAGGTGGCTTAAACTCTAATATTCCAGAGTGCACCTCTGTCATGCTCCTCCTGGTTCACTGCTGACAGTGTGGTCCTTCAAAGGGTCAGGACAGATTTAAAGTATCTAGAGCTGGAAGGTCAAACCATCTTCCCCAGAGCAATGGTATTCGTTGCAATGAAATTTTAATAAGTCAATAGGAAGCATTATTAGAGGGGATTCATATCCCCTTCCTAAGATTCCATCTAGCTTACAAAATCACGGAGCTTCTCCTATTAACACTCAGGCTGCTTCACATCCTCAAACCTCCCATTGAGCACATGGGCCTATGAAAAAGACTCCTGCCTACTCGCAGCACCAGGGAAGCTTTGGTAGAGCTACGGTGTAACGCAAGAACCATTAGGAAGCGCAAGACAGAGGCAAGTCCACCCTGAAGCTTTAAGAGCAACCTTCAAGGGCTCAGGGTCAAGGCAGTGATGTTGTTAGAGATGGAGCTTTTTTACCAGGATGAGGAGCCATGGGGCTTCACAGAGTACAAGAAGAAGGGGATGAATACAGAGGAAGTGAGGGCAGGGGTCGAAGCATATTGAAGAGAAGTTACTGCAGGGTGTCTCCCTACAGAGGTTGGAATGACTGCGTTCTGGAGCTAGTTTTACATTTTGACTTTGTCTCATTTTCTCACAGTTAGCAGTTGGTAAGGGATAAGTTTCTCTTTGTTCCTCCGTTTTCTCACATAAATAGCTCTTGAGCACTGTTGGCAGTTAAAAACATTAGGTAACGGCCAGAACCTACTGATGTAACAGAGGGACACGTTCAGAAACTTTTTCCCAGCCAACTACCTGACAATGTTTTTAAAAAAAAAAAAATCATGCTGTGAAACTCAAAATGTCAAACCATTATTCTGAGTACAAAGGCATACGATGCTGAAATACAAAGTGAGTGTGAGGAGACAGGGAAGGAGGCAAGGGAAAGGTTAGCGGGGACATCCACAATGAATCACGGGGGCCTACCGAGGTTAACGGTGAGCTTGACGCGGCCTCCGTCCAGCTCCAGTCGCAGGGTGTCCGCTGACTCCTTGGAGGTGGTGGCCATGAGCAGGCCGTACGCTCGCTGAGACATGAAGCGCAGCGCCACGTCTTCGGCCTCCGTGTGCATGGTGACCGGCATGATGATCTTCAGGTACATGCTGCCGTCGTAACTCAGCACCGTTGCCTCTGCAAAGGGGTGATGAAGAGGATGAAGTAAGCAACGAGTAACAATCGAGGGAACGCTGTCTCCCGAACAAAGGTCGGGCCGGTATCACAGCCAAGTTTAAAGTAGCTGTGATAATCCATGTAAGCTTATTTACAGTTGAAAAATCTTTCAATCACTCACGTCCCGCTTTCTCCAAAGACGACAGCTCTAATTCAAACAGGATTTAGACAAGACGTGTATTTGGACGCCATATCAACAGCATAGGATCAAGGGAAAATTCAGCATGAATCAAGATCAAAGCCATGTATGTCTGAAAACGTCACACCAAACAAAAAGGGGATACAAATCTTGTTACACCTCTCAGACATTCAAATTTAACAATTTCATAGAAATAATCAATGCACACATCCTCTGAATGTCTTTTTTTGTGTGTACACTTTTAGCACACCTTATCATTTACAATGGATTTGTTAAATATGTATAACATTTACTTAAATTAGATCTATCGGATGGCTTAGGAACGCCTTAGGGAGGCTTCTGTGACCCAGCCCCCTGATAAGGGGATAAAAAAATATGGATGGATATATAATTATCTCATAATTATTTTTTACATTTGTTTACAAGAACCCACATTTCAAAAAAATGCTGACAATTTTAAAGTGTAGTGTATTAACACAAGAAGAACAGGAAACCACAAAAAAGGGACTTAACAAAAACATCAGATGCTTGCCAAGCTTAGAAAAACAAAACTCAGTCCGTGCTGTAACACGTTCTTCATGTTCACACTACACTGAAGCGTGGTTACTTTCTCTAACATCGCTGCTGCCATAAATAGACCGCTGTCGGAGATTGACAGTTCCAGAGGAGTGCTCTTATCTCGGAGCGTGGGTCGATATGTGTCACCGCAGGCTAACATGAGTCACTTTCACAGGGTGCTTCAAGCATTTAGATTTTAGAGTGTACAAAAACACGATGTTAAAAGATGCAGAAAAATCCCTCCTACAGGCCAGCAATCGCTTAAAATGCTGCTATTTCAAGAGCGCACATCAGATTCGCAAATCCTACACAACACACTGTGTGTACTTTGACAAAAGTCCCACTTGTATTAAAATGGGATGCCGCTGCATTATTTTATCAAAACAGTGAACGGCTAAAAGAGACCATTCGTTATTGCATAATCACATCACTACAACCTGCAGGGCCCTGTCCTTGTCAAATCAATATCACAGATTCTCCTGTCATTCAGCTAATCTGTGAACTCAGTTTATATACACAGGTGTGTATCTAGCTGAGTACAGAAGTGTGCCTGCGACACATGCTTGCAATAATACAAAAATCCACAAGATGGCAGAAGAACATCACTTAAACCACACTTGTCATCCGAGGAACCAAATAGTAAATTGTTAAAATTATCACCCTTCAAAATAAGGATATTTCATCCTATACCCCGACTGTCCTGACTTGAATCCAATTTCTCCTTCCCTCATTACCCTCCTTGTCCCTCAAAATTCCATTCCGTCATGGCTCACTCACCCCCTCAGACAAGCTAAGACAAACCGCAGGCTGAGGTGTCTGCACCTAATTGGGATGAATCAGAAGGACGTGGTGCTGTTTGACGAGCTCACCCTGCCTCGCTGTGGTGCAAAGGCCACTCGTGTGTGTGTGACTGACACAGATGGCAGCGGGAGGCCTGGCTGCTCTGTCGCACTCCTGCCAACATCCCAACACTTCAGCCAGTGAGCTGAATGCAAGCAAGTCTCAGGTGGCATTTGGTGCACACACAGCTCCTTGTCAGTTACAACACAAGGAAGAATGTTGTCGTATGTGTCAGCACATTAACTTAACAGAAACTTTTCATTGTTTAGTGTTGGGACTCTCATGATTTCCTTTTCATTCTTACTGCAGTGCATGGGGCCTTATATAAAGGAATATCTTTGCTTGTGTGTATATGCTTGTCCTGCTTTTAATGCGATAAAAAAGCATTTCATTTCTTTTCTGGAGTGTAGCCAAAACAATTATATTTAGCATAGTCAGTATTCAATTATACACAATGAATTCAGTTTCTATAATTAATCCTTAAGTGGTCAAAGAAACTTCACTCTTGGCCCTTCTTACCTATCTCACAGTTGGTACCAAGGTATCCGGTGCCAGTGCAATCACAAATGTACCGGTTCCAGCCCTCTTTGCAAAGACCTCCGTTGCCACAGGGGGCACTGCTGCAGCGTTTCTGTAGCTCACGGGTGCAGAAACTGCTGACACCCAGGGCACTCTGGATCTCAGCCAGCCGGCGGACATCCCGGCTCTTGCCATCGATGAATAGGTCACGGACGCAGCCTACGTAGCCGTAGTTAAGGAGCGCTGTCCAAACTTCTGGCGGCAGGATGAGATCTGACTTCGATTCGGGCAGCCCGCCCAAGTACATATCAGTGTCCAGGTCCAGGATTTCACTGCCCTCTGGGGAGCTGAAGGGCAGGCTGCGGCTGTTGACTGAGATTGATCCTAAAATACAGAAAGAAAGAAGAAACAAGCAGCAAGATGTTAACTTTTGAATCTGATGTTACTGACACCTGGATACATCACCCTAACCGCACCTACGTGAATGAATATAGGTCCAGCTTATCTGTGCATGACTGAGCATGCATCTTGTATTTAGTGCTTGACTAAAGCGATTCAAATGGTCAGGACTGAAAATGTGTATAGTCTATATACATAAATGTGAGTGAGCGGAATAGTGGGAGGGGCAGGAGGTGGCTAATTTAGGGAAACAGAACAGGGACAGACGGAGACAGAAGGACATACACGACACAGGAAGAATAGATGACAGTAGAGTGTGCATCCATATGCGTGTGTGTGTCTAATGTGTCTATAATAGGCTAAATGGAGGAGAAGGGAAGCAGAATGCAGCAGGGAGTGGGTGAAACAAAAGGCCCTCTCTCTTTCGGTGATTAACGACTCCATCTTAATTTTCTATTAAAAGCCAATTACAGGAGGAGCAGCAGTGAGATCCCATGCGTCCACACACACACGTATGCACGCACTCATTCACACGCTTCCTCATTATAAGGCAACAATTGAGGGAGATATAATGTCCAAGGTTCTTTCCCACCTACAGATCATTCATCAGACAATGCCCACTCAAGCATACAGATGCTCCTGTTTGCACCCCCAGAAGGCAAAGGGATTTAAAGACATCACACAGTTTTTAAAAATAGATATACTGTTAGTATATGTAATCACTACTCTGCTTCCAACATGATTGAATTGGCATGAAGGACAAAACAGTATTTGACTATGACAAAGTCAGTTCTGTCCCCTTTTCCGTGCAGAGTCTATATTTCTGTCTTCCTAATCCAGTGAGCCGTTCACATGCACTTAAATAGCACGCGACATAAAAAAGTGACTAACCCAGTTTTAAAGCACTCCTCACCTTTCCTTCCTTCTCTTTGGAAATCCACATGGCACCATTCCCCATCGTTGACCTTCTTGTTGCTGGCCTTGAGCTTTGTTTTTCCGGAGCCCATATCAATCAGCAGGTACAAATACCCATCCAGAAGCTCCATGGCAAAGTAATCAGTCTTCAGCTCCCTACCAGGCTTCTGCTCTTTAGGCCCCTGAGGCCGTCCGTGGCTGAATAACAGAAGGCCGCTGGGCTCTGTGGTCCGGAAGTCAAAAGAGATAGAGCCCGTCTTCTTGGTGTTCCACTTTGGCAGAGAGATGTAGGACTCGGGGGTCTCAAAAGTTACAGGATCCAGGGCTGCTACATCCTCACAGCGGAACACCAGGTCACCATTCAGGGTGATTTTCGGGTCACGCTCGATGGCCAGCCGTGACAGCTCCAGCTTAAAGTCGTTGTTCTTGTACACCACCTAAAAGAAAAGCAAATGGTTGAAAGGTTATGATTGTGCATTTGGAGACAGACACTATCTCTACTGTCAAGATTAGGTTTAAAACTTTCCTTTTTGCTAAAGCATATAGTTAGGGCTGGACCAGGTGACCCTGAATCCTCCCTTAGTTATGCTGCAATAGACGTAGGCTGCCGGGGAATCCCAAGAAGCAATGAAGTTTTCCCTTCCAGTCACCTTTCTCACTCACTATGTATTAATAGACCTCTCTGCATTGAATCATATCTGTTATTAACCTCTGTCTCTCTTCCACAGCATGTCTTTTATCCTGTCTTCCTTCTCTCACCCCAACCGGTCGCAGCAGATGGCTGCCCCTCCCTGAGTCTGGTTCTGCCGGAGGTTTCTTTCTATTAAACGGGAGTTTTTCCTTCCCACTGTAGCCAAAGTGCTTGCTCATAGAAGGTCATATGATTGTTGGGTTTTTCTCTGTATCTATGAAGCGCCTTGAGGCGACTTTTGTTGTGATTTGGCGCTATATAAATAAAATTGAATTGAATTGAATTGAACTATGATTTAAAAACATGTATTTCAACAGCATAGTCTGTGTTGTCATGGCTGTTAATACTGAGAGCCAGCAAATGTATTTTAATTGCTTCCGGTAGTTTCAAGTATTAGTTATAGTCGCTGCCGGGGAATCTCAACAGCACGGGGAAATGACTTAAAACTTGAATAAGTACATGACTTTTTCATGAACTGCAGTGTGGAACTAGTATTAGCGGAAAAGAAGCTGCTTTAGTATCTCCTGCACATGACCCGGTAACAACAATTTTAGGTCAGAGAAAAGGTTTTGCTAAGGGAAACAGGAAGAGCCAAGAAGCGAGATGAAAGCAGGCCGAATGCCGATGTCTGCTAGTACTGAGGTGTGGACCCACAACTTAAAGAGAGTATTGTACTCTCATCACTGGTGTTTAAACTCCTGAACTCTGGTTCATTCCATAAACCATACAAATGTTTCTTCTTGTACAAAACCATTCCTCACAAATGGAGTAAATATGCATAATAAATTGAAAAAATTAAAAAGGCTTCAGGGGATATCCAGAAACAGAAAAAAAAGCGAACGTTGCCTACAGCTCCAATGCAAATGTCTCCAATGGTCTTTGATGAAATACAGCTCTATTGTTTGAGCTCAGACTCTGCGTCTATGCCTCCGTGTATGCATTCATAATGGATTAATTGCTAAAGGCAAAGCAAATTGTTCTTGTCTTTCATAGTTTTAGTTTTCTTTTTATTTGTTGAACACTCTGTACACAGCTTTGTGAGAGGCCTTCCTCAAGGTAATACTGTGAATCGGCAGAGCTCTCTCCATTTGTGCGCTGTTCGCACTCTCTGTTTACCACACTGCTGACAATAAAACAGAGAAAAAATAAGCTGGTCTACATTTCAATCCTTCATTTCTGCTGCTGTCTAAGCTGCAAGGTTAAGGAGATTGTTCCGGTTCGGTTTGATTCCGCCAGCAGATGTTCTCATTTGAATTGTCACAGAGTATAAAAACAGAAAGAGCTACCTGCTTTGTGTTTGGAGTACAATTCTTGTTCTCATGAAAGGATGGAATGAAAGTCATCAC